TCATCACGACCAGGGATTGTTTCCCCAACAGGAGCGAGGAAACATTCAATAGACCAAAGAGATATTGCTAACTAAAATACGTTTACCAAAAGTTAAAATCTACAAGTTATGTTCATGAAAATATTATATTTCAATTTCAAATATTCTTGATTCAATGACAAAGAAAATTTAAACGAATGAAATACCCATTTTAAAATCAAGACAGTATCCTTTGTGATTAGGTTAAACTCGGACTAGTTTCATACGTTTAAATTCTCCCTTACCATCGGCAAAACATGCTTCAAACGATTCTTCAATATCCTTTTTCTGCCCGATAAAATTCGCAAAATTCTTTCTCACATTTTCAACACAATCTGGAAGATTCCTTTCTGCTCTGCACGCTTTTTTAGTGAACTGTCCTGTTAGTGACCAGAAGTGAGCTGCTCCGAAGGAAACTTGTTTCATCGCAATGGACGAGTCCACTGTTTTGTTGACCCCGTCCGGACATGTCATGTGCATTATCACCGGTATATCGGACTGGTCAATTTCATACCTGTCCACAATGCCGAAGACGATCCCTGCACCCGGCACTGGAAATTCCGTGACCTGCCCATGTTCTTTTTCGCTGATAGTCGTTGTTTCTGACGTTTTGGAGGTTCCCATAGTAATAGCTCCACCAGCTCCCATGGACACACCCGCTGAGAAAGATGATCCAGTTCCCAGGAATCCTACTTCAACGGTCACTTCTGCAGAAACTGTTACGTCCCAGTTCACTTCATTTTCTTTAGAAATTTCGAGACTTACTGATTCTTCCACGCCATTTATTTGTGTAATTTCGATCTCGTGTGAGGCTGGTCCGTAACAGGATCCACTGGATTGAGAGCCGATGATTTCGGTTCCAGTGTATCTCGGCTCTAAGTCTCCTTCCTTGTCCAATACCTCAATATGTGACAATTTGCACTTTTCCTTACCTTTGTATGTCTCACAGATTGGTCTCAGAGAACTGACCTTGTTACTCCATCCATCAAGGTGGTCAATAGTTTCTCCTTCTTTTATCACTAATCTGGTACCTTGGTAGCCTGTCCACTCATACATTTCCCAGTCTCCTTTGTCGGCAACCATAGAAGTTATCTTATTTCTCATATTTGCTCCTAAATCTGTCAAGAAATAGATCAATCAAGTTATCAATTGGGCCAATAATTGTAACGGCAGTTCCTCCTTGGTTAGAGTTGTCGTACATGATTAGTTTTGGTAAGGCTTTACGTTCAGTGGACACTGAACATGACTTATTAAACTTAAGATTAAAGCCTCCTGGCTTGAACTTGACAGTATCTATATCATTCAAAAATCCTTCTGGGTCCGTTGTTAGCTCATTGTAGGGTATGGAGATGAGAACCTTTCCTTGACATACCATGACCAACTCAGTGGCTTGGAACTCAAATGTGTACTCCCGCTGGCCGTTTCCACTAGGGTAACTCATGGCCACCCACTGGAAATCCCACTGCTTCTTTCCCCGTTTAAAGACACCGTTTTTGACAGCCAAGCTGCCCCCATTCCATTCAGGATGTAATCCAAACAAAACTAATTCTTGGTTCCCTCTGAGAAATATTACGTCGCCACTATAGACATTGGAGCTAGTACCTACTACTGTCAAGACGCACGATGTTTCAAAGGGTACCGGAACACCGCTTTGTGCTGTTGTCAAGGGTTCATCCGCGGCAAAGACTCCTACTACGAAGAGAGCAATTAAAGTCGTGGCAGCAGTTACAAACATGTCTAATGGGTGTGACTGTGAGCGACCAGACTACCAATTAATAGAGCAACCGCTTGGAAATGAGAGCGCTTACTTTGAGATTATTTCTGAGCGCCGTGCGGTTTTATAATTTAATATAGGTTATTAGCTTGACAGAATACGAACGACAAATATAAGCCTGTTTAATGCAAGTTTTTGCCAATGACAAGTAATTTATGAATTTTCTGTGTCACTGTCAGCAGACGACTGCAAGTCTTTTCAAAAACATATTCCAGGTTGCTTCTCCAATGAGGTGACTTGTCATATACCAATGACAAGAAATGCTTGCTGTACAGCTGAATAAAGTATGGTCAGTGAAAGCATTAAACAACATACAGACTACCAAAATATTGTTTCAGAATCCAGACGGCGGCTGAAGACTAGACATCAAAAATATCATATGCACATATGTTTACAACTAGGGTGTACTCTATTTGAGCCGCGCAATTTGCTTCGCGTCTAAATCTTATGACCAAATCGATGGCAAACAAAATCAAGTTTCGGGAGTTAAGTGCTGGGAGTTTAGTACTGGTTAAGTACCGGGAAAAGGGTTTTCTTTTTTTAGTTTTTCGACAGATTGTCGTGAAGTAAATGTATGAATATATATGTATAGTTCAGTAATTACATTCAGTTCAATAATTACACTTTTTAATACGTTGTTGCTCGCTTATCTGTTACTTATCACAGTGATAAGACTTACCTGGGGACATCAGGCTATTATTATCATAGAGATTCGGCGGAATGACAAACTGAGCGCGGCCCAGTAATGATAAGACCTGCTTGTTTTACTGTTGGCGTGGTTTTGTGATGTATAAATCGGAGAAATAAAAGGCTCATATTATGCTAAATGAATAATATGGAGCTGAATGGATCCGGAAAACTCTCGGGCTTTCTAAATCAGATAACGTTAAAACGCGTGTGTAGCTCAGAATTTTAGTGGTAAAAGAGAAATCTCCAGGGAAGTCATGGCTCAGAGTCTGACTGCTGCGTTATCGCGTTAAAATTATGTACAGACATTAGCTTTTCTTACTTACTGTATGTAAGTGTATAAAAAATGGATTTAAAAATCATTTGCTGAAATAAAAAAACGTCAAAAAATGAACAAAATTCGGATTTTTGATGGTTTTGAATGCCTTCTAGCGTTCATATTAATGTCCGTTCATAATTATGTCCGTTCATTTAATGTCCGTCCAAATAAGGTCCGATAAGGTAATCTTGAAAACTGTTTATAAGAAACGTTTTTGTTTATATTTTCAGGACTCTGTTTATGTGATGTTAGAATCACTGAGAAATTCAATAATATTTCATATTTTATTTTACTGTCACATGCATGACTGAAAGTCTTTGAGATATAAAATTGATTTTGACATGAAGGCAGAGAACCTTTTTTGATTTATCACGTTTTCAGACTGAAATTGGGTTGCAGTTCTTTAATTAAAATATTAATTTTATATACATTTTTTTGTAAATTGGTCATTAGTACTACCGGCACCGTCCAGACAACAAACAAACAATTCATCAATAAAATTTTAAATGTTTACACAACACACAAATTTACATCATTTTATCTAAAATAAAATGTGCCGAAAGATCAAAATCGTGTCCTTCTTTATTTAAAGAGAGGATGCCTAGTGGCAAGTAATATGAGGGGGAATGAGTAAACGCTTTAGTGCGAAGCTGAACGGGTGATAGTGATACTGATACTCTTAAAATATTTGTTCCAATGAAGACAGTTTCCTTAGTAAACTAGTTAGACTCGAACTCGTTTCATACGTTTAAATTCCCCCTTACCACCGGCAAAGCATGCCTCAAACGCATCTTCAATCTCATCTTTTTGCCCAACAAAATTTGAAAAGTTCTTTCTCACATTGTCAACGCAATCTGGGAGGTCCCTGTCTGCTTTGCACGCTTCTTTAGTGAACTGTCCTGTTAGTGACCAGAAGTGAACTGCTCCGAAGGAAACTTGTTTCATTGCAATGGATGAGACCACTGTTTTGTTGGCCCCGTCCGGACATGTCATGTGCATTATCACCGGTATATCGGACTGGTCAATCTCATACCTGTCCATACCTGATCCCTGCACCCGGCACTGGAAATTCCGTGACCTGCCCATGTTCTTTTTCGCTGACAGTTGTGGTTCCTGTTGTTTTAGAGCTGCCCATAGTGATAGCTCCACCCAGTGATGCACGCCGCCGCCGGACGCCGCCGCGCCGGCACATTTTCACACGCCGCCACGCCGATACCTCTCAAGTCGGCGTGGCGTGAAAGGAAATAGAAAGAGTATGGAGCCAGTCGGGGTTGATTTTGAACTCTAGGAGATCCAAATTGTCCAACGACAATGTTAAGAATTTGATTTTTCTTAAATATAATTGTAAAAACCACCAAATATAATTGTAAAAACCACACTTATTACATCATTATTTCATGCACGCACGTACGCCACAATTTTTGTGGGCCTGGAAATTCAAACCTAAATTTTAACAAAATTATGTTCCACGCCGCCGAACGCCGCCACGCCGGGCCATTTTGGGCACGCCGCCGCCGGTTGGCGAAAAATGAACCGGCGTGCATCACTGGCTCCACCAGCTCCCATAGAAACGCCTGCTGTGATTCCTGATCCAGTTCCCGCGAATCCTACCGTGACCTCAACCGATGCAGACACGGTTAAGTCCCAGTTCACTTCAAGGTTGTTAAATACGTCAAATTTTCGTGAAAGAATACGACGTATTCGGTTCTAATAAAGAATACGTCGTAATACGCCGGAATACGGTAATTTCTATGGATTGTTAAATACGTCCACGAATACGCCATAATACGCCGTAATACGCTGATTTGTCAAAATTAAACATTACAGCTGCGCGCCACCCTCATCATTGATCATGCATTGAAGGAGTGCAGTTATACATGATAACTTAAATTTGTAATCAAATTTCATGGATAATAAGCTAACATTTTTTGCGAAATTATCAATTACATATTAATACATATTTAATGATTTCGTTTCCTAAAACGATCTCGCAATTATCAAAGTTTAAGACCATTTTCTAAAGTTCAGTCCCCTCAACATATTTGAATTTTTTGAATAAAGAATACGTCGTAATACGTCAATTTTCGAGGATTAATACGTATTCGTATTCCAATACGTATTCCCTCCTAATACGTATTTAACAACCTTGGTTCACTTCATCTTCTTTGGAAATTTCGAGACTCACTGATTCTTCCACAGCATTTATCTGTGTGATTGAGATTTCGTGGGAGGCTGCTCCGCGCCGTAACAGGATCCACTGGATTGAGAGCCGATGATTTCGGTTCCAGTGTACTTGGGCTCTAAGTCTCCTTCCTTGTCCAATACTTCGATTTTTGACAGTGCGCACTTTGACTTTCCTTTGTATGTCTCACAGATTGGTCTCAGAGAACTGACCTTGTTACTCCATCCATCAAGGTGGTCAATAGTTTCTCCTTCTTTTATCACTAATCTGGTACCTTGGTAGCCTGTCCACTCATACATCTCCCAGTCTCCTTTGTCGGCAACCACAGAAGTTATCTTATTTCTCATATTTGCTCCTAAATCTTTCTGTGGGGTCAGGTACTCCGTCGTTCCATACGGAAGATGGGAACTTGTAGAGACACGTAATTTGGCTGTCGTAGGATCGGAGATGTAGCGGCAATTTATAGGTCTTGCTGAGGAATAACTGTTGCTGTTTCTTGCGTTTAGCTTCTGACCTTCCTCCACGAAGAACCTATCACCCCTGTATGCGGTCTCTCTGTAAAGTTCCCAATCTCCAGTGACTGCCCAAACGCTGCCGGTCCTATCGTTGAAATTTATATCAATCAAGTTATCAATTGGGCCAATAATTGTAACGGCAGTTCCTCCTTGGTTAGAGTTGTCGTACATAATTAGCTTAGGTTCATCAGCGGCAAAAACTCCCCCTGCGATGAGAGCGAGCAAAGTCGTGGCAGCAGTTACAAACATGTTCAAAGAGTTTGACAATGAACGACCGGACTAGTTGTTAATGGAGCAACCTTTTGGGAATGAGTGCGTGTAAGTTCAGATTATTTCTGAGCACCGTACGGTTTTATAATTCAATCTACGTTATTAGCTTGACAGAATACGAACGACAAATATAAGCCTGTTTAATGCAAGTTCTTGCCAATGACAAGTAATTTATGAGGTTTTCTGTGTCAGCAGACGACTGCAAGTCTTTTCAAAAACATATTCCAGGTTGCTTTTTCCAATGAGGTGCCTTGTCATACTCGTATACCAATGACAAGAAATGATTGCTGTACCGCTGAATAAAGTATGGTCGGGGAAAGCACTAAACAGCATACAGACTTCTAAATTATTATTCCAAACGTCAGCTGAAGACACCAAAAATATTATTCATATGTGATTGTAAGTTTATGTCGCCGCGCGCAATTTTAATTTCAAAGACTTTGCACCAATTTTTAAGTGGTAATTTCACGTTCGGGTGGTTATTTTAGTTAATTGTCTCAGCTGCAGTGCTGGAATAAAGGTAATTTGGTGTTCACTCACAACTCATGAAGGTGGTTTTCATTTCGTATATATTTGTTCTTCAGAGGGTTCGTTGAAAGAACGTACAATCAATGTTTTTCCTTTGTCTAGTTCTACATATCTATACTATAATTTAAACTTGACGAAATTTCCTCGGCAACGGGGAAAAAACACCGAAAATCGACCTCAAAATGACCCTCTGGTGAAATCAAACCCAGCTATATAAGTTGTTTTGAATGGTCGCTTAATACACGCACTTGGTTATGAAGAGAGAAGGTTAATTCTGTCACAATTTTCAATTTTGGGTGCATTACCGAAAAAATCATTTATATCTGATTTTGGTTTGAAAAGCGAAAAAACTCCATATAATTATAAGGAGTATGGACGATACAGTTGATTCAAGAGAGGGCAGTTGATGTTAACATTGTCACAAAAATGATGTGACGAAATTAACATTGCTTGCACTATTTTGAAGTTCCGAATTTGGAAAAATGGGAGATTAGGTTTGGCCACTTTACAGCCTCTATACGGCCTCTATATGGCCTTTATACGGCCACTATATGGCCCCTACACGGCCACTATACGGCCTTTATACGGCCTCTATACGGCCTCTATACGGCCTCTATACGGCCTCTATACGGCCTCTATACGGCCTCTATACGGCCTCTATAGTCTATACGGCCTCTATAATCTATATGGCTTCTATATGGCCTCTATACGGCCTTTATACGGCCATTATACGGCCATTAGATGGCCACATAAAAAGAACATCATATAGCCATTATATGATCATTATATGGCCACTAAGCAAATTACCACTTAACAAATAACCGCTTGCAGTTTACCGATATTGAAGTTCGGTTAATTTAGAATAGTAATAATGATATCATACTAAATCCTAATCAATACACAATTACAATAAGATAAATAATTTAATACACATTTCTACTAGGCTATCCATTATCGGTATGAAATCTTTTATCTAGATAAACAGATAAAGATTTAGGTTTTATCTAGATAAAACCGATAAAACCGATAATTTTTCTGCTGAAGGCCAAAGCCTAAATGTTTTCCAAATTTCGCAAAAACTAATTGTCGACTTTTATTACTGTTTACCAGTAATCTTGCTAAAGTACCACTTCCTTTCTTTTGAAAATATTAGAGCATCAGTTTTCTTCTCCGGGGAGCAGAAGTGCACCAGTTTTCTTCAAAACAGTAGACCAACGGTTTTCTTCTCCTAAGAACAGTAGTGTACCAGTTCTCTTCAAAACAGTAGACCAAGGGTTTCCTTCTCCTGAGAACAGTAGTGTACTACCAGTTCTCTTCAAAACAGTAGACCAACGGTTTCTTCTCCTGAGAACAGTAGTGCACCAGTTCTCTTCAAAACAGTAGACCAACGGTTTCCTTCTCCTGAGAACAGTAGTGCACCTGTTCTCTTCAAAACAGTATCTGACCAAGGGTTTCCTTCTCCTGAGAACAGTAATGTACTACCAGTTCTCTTCAAAACAGTTGACCAACGGTTTTCTTCTCCTAAGAACAGTAGTGCACCAGTTCTCTTCAAAACAGTAGACCAAGGGTTTCCTTCTCCTGAGAACAGTAGTGTACTACCAGTTCTCTTCAAAACAGTTGACCAACGGTTTTCTTCTCCTAAGAACAGTAGTGCACCAGTTCTCTTCAAAACAGTAGACCATGAACGGTTTCCTTCTCCTGAGAACAGTAGTATACTACCAGTTCTCTTCAAAGCAGTACTAGACCAACGGTTTCCTTCTCCTGAGAACAGTAGTGCACCAAATACCAATTCTCCTCGAAACAGTAAAGCATTTAAAGTGATTCAGTGAACCGTTTTCTTATCCTGTTGATAACTTCGGGCAACAGATTCCTTCTCCTGAGGACAATGTTTCACGCCCAGAACACTTACGGAATTCAATTGAGTGCCCTGCCGGTATTTTTGACTCTTGTTAACAGTAACATGCTCGTTCCCGTCTCCAGAATGATTATAAGGTAAAACGCCAGCACCATCAAGAGAACAATGTCAATAACCTTCTCTGGATTTCTACAGTTCATACAGTTCTACAGTTCCAAAGGTATACAAATGTAAATAAACCTCTTAAGCTCACATCTAAGTAAACTACCTCTTCTATCATACTAGAAGACGTTTGGGACTGTTTCTTGGATTACTTAGGAAGGCAAAAACACTAATATTTCTTTACAATTTTACGGTATTGTGGAAGTATTTTCGGTAATATCTAGTGAATTTTTATACCGATAAAAATATGTTTTATCTAGATAAACAGATAACCTTTTTTAACGAATTATCGGAGATAATTATCGGTTACGATTATCGGAGTGGATAGCCTAATTTCTACCTGTTAAATGAAATTACAGGTTTGAATTAAAGTTTATGCTTTTCGTATACGGCCGTATAGAGGCCGTATGGAGGCCGTATAGAGGCCGTATGGAGGCCATAGATAATAGATTAGATGTTTTGTGTGGCCGTTTAGAGGCCGTATAAGGGCCATGTAATATATCTTTTAAGTGGCCGTATAGTGGCCGTATAGTGGCCGTATAAAGGCCGTATAGAGGCCGTATAAAGGCCGTATAGTGGCCGTATAAAGGCCGTATAGAGGCCGTATAGAGGCCATATAGAGGCCGTATAGAGGCCGTATAGAGGCCGTATAAAGGCCGTATAGTGGCCGTATAGAGGCCGTATAAAGGCCATATAGAGGCCGTAGAGAGGCCGTATAGTGGCCGTATAGAGGCCAAACCTAATCGTAATTAGATTAAGAATGGTAATAGATTAAGAAATTGTAAATGAATGGGAAAAGTGAGCGACCGATTTTATTCTAGGTATCATTTTGCATTTGCGGACGGTTATTCAAATTAATATCATTTCCCTTTGTTTGGAAAAGAGAGACACTGGCAGCGGTCCACTCTACCCATGATTATGGGTTTTGGTCAAATAACTATCAACATTATAAGCTATTATATCCAGGTAGATGCGAATCGATAAAACGGAGTACGACGGAGACTTGAAGTCGTCTATTCTCGATCAGCTTGCCATAGGGAATCTGTAATACAAAGCCGAACCGCATGGAGAACGGCACTATACACAAAATCGAACGGCACCTTGTCTTTACGCTTAGCTTGTATACTGTAAACTATATTGTAAAAGTTTGTGGGGTGGAATCCCAAAACACAGGCTGAATAAAATTTGTGCAATTGCAAAGCGATGTATAAGACTGCTATATTTGGTAACATCCCCGATTTTGATCATAAAGAATATTATTTAACATGTGCATTGTGCACGTTCGAGAACTTTAATTAATTAACATATTATGGCTAGCAAGAACTAAGCTGTCTTGAACACACTAAACTGCTGTTCACTGCTGAGCAGAAAATTATAAATCCGGAGAATCTGCACGTGTCATACATTTATGGAACTATTCAAAATCCTTAAATTTGATGTCCCTCAGTCAATTAAAGATCTTTTCAAGTTCTGCCCTAAAAATGAAAAATGTCTGATCCCATTACTGAGATTAGATATCTCCCAAACAGAACTTTCTAGTCTTGAGCGCATAATTTAATATAGCTGGTTACTCCTTCATGAATTAATCTAGTATACAGATGTTTGAAATCCCCCCCCCCCCCTCTCCTTTATCAGTTTTACTGTCAAAAATACACTAGCCTTATCATTTAGAAAGAAATACATGAGCAGGACATTTCTTGAGTCTGTAATTCTGGCATCTCCAGGTAAAGATAGTTGGGGCAGTGGCGTAACGTTGTTTTCAAAATTATCCCACATTCAAAGGACGATTTGGCGCCCCCTAAGGTGGCCCCCAATCAGGAATTCAGGAGCAGGTAACCACGCGCATTTTGAATGGTTCACGTACTGTAGTGCGACACGTACCCTAGTGCGAAACCTCCAAGATCGACACTGTCGCAGTAGAGTACGCTACCTGGATCGTAGTGCGACACGTACCCTAGTGCGACAGAGAACTTTCAAGGCCGACACTGTCGCACTACAGTGCGCTACCTGGACTGTAGTGCGACACGAACTAAAGTGCGACAAAACACTTTACACATTCAATAAAAATTTTACTTTCCATTTTTAATGACGAGAGTGTAGTCGTGTATGAGTAATGGGGTTAAATATAAAATCAAAGATTGCAATCACAATATTCAAATCATTGTTCCAACACACTTCAACTAATCCATTCTGTAATAATCATCGTAGCTGTCAATCACAGCGTTCAAGCGACGGTCGTAATCAGTCCACTTCTTCAGTCGGCGAAGAAGCATCTTCATTCTTCTGGTTGATCTTCCATTGGGTTAGATCCTGCTCCTTCTTCAGGACGTCGATAAATCGCCAGATAGTAGGGTTGGTGCAGCCCATCAAGGGGGAGAGGAGGTTTGTGTTCCGACCCAGGTACGTTCGTAGTAGTCACTAGGCAGCAAAGGAA